TAGACTTCTAACTTGGGATATTCCTTCTCCTCAGGTATGGCTCCCATGGTGCATTTTACCGTTATAAGAACAGCATGGGTAAGAGCCTCCCACTCTTTTATATCTACGACTCATACCTGACTTCTCCTGAGGCTTGGGCTCATCTCCTGACACCAGGTGGGCCCCACTCAATTCGCAACACCCCCTATGATGGGGTCTTTATAGCGCTGCTGGTGGAGGAGGGGCACACACATGACATCCTGGCTGCTGGCTTTGATGGCATGTATACCTACTTTGCCTCCAATGGCTTCTCCTTTGGCTCTTCCCATCAGAACTGGAAAGCTGTAAAGAACTTTTGTGATGCCAACAATCTCATGTTCATTCCCAGTGTGGGGCCTGGCTACATTGATACCAGCATCCGGCCCTGGAATAATCACAATACGCGGAACAGGGTCAATGGCAAGTACTATGAGACAGCCCTACAAGCGGCCCTGACAGTGAGGCCTGAGATTGTCTCCATCACTTCTTTCAATGAGTGGCACGAGGGCACCCAGATTGAAAAGGCTATTCCCAAGAAGACCCCAACTCGCCTCTATTTGGACTACCTGCCTCACCAGCCCAGCCTGTACCTGGAGCTGACCCGCCGCTGGGCAGAGCACTTTATCAGAGAGAAAGAACAGTGGCTAATGTGAAGGAGTGGCAGAGGCATAAGGTCCCAGCTTCACTGGGACCAATGTGGGGCTCAGCTGAGAGGCTGTAGGCACTCACTTATCTCTTAAAAAGAAAGCAAACCTAGTAGGCGCCTTTAGAACAGAGCCTGTTCCTCAGGCAAGTGATGCTAGAGTTGTCTATGGTGACATGAAATGTGGTGGTCAAGAGGCAAGGTAGGGGCGACCAAGTGAGGGACCCAGGGCCTAGCTCCATGTCAATTAGGGCACTTCAAAATGATCCCTTCTAGCTTTGAGCTTCTGCAGAGGCTGGTACTGGATACTGGAGCCACCCACACACTACTCCTGAAATGGTGTCTGTGTTCTGGGCTAGCATGCACCCTGCTCCCTTCTGCCAGCCTGTGTCCTCTGCAGACCTCCTTTGAGCATCTCATCCAGCTTTTCTATGTTAGGGAAAATTACTTGAAATTTTCTAAAAGGGACATTCTAGATTTAAGCTCCATCCAATAGATTTCTATACCTAATTATCAGAAAATAATCCAGAGCATTCACATATTCACCACACACGAACTGAGCTCCTTACTATGTGGTAGGTGTTGGGGGGAACACATGACCAAGGAGCTTGCAGGATCCAGTTTTCCCTACTGAGTGTGGCCTTGTAGCTAGTGCCTGTAGCTAGCTAGCTAGCTGTTTTTCAGTTTTACCCAGAGTGCTAAGAGAACACCTCTGTGTTCTGGAGCCTCCATTTTCCCAGATGAACATTTAGCTCCAGGGAGACTAGGTTATCCTCTATCCATTCAGTGAACTCCACCATTGATTCAAGTGACCATTCATCCTAGTGAATGAGGCCCACTCACTAGAGCCATTTTCAGTGCTACTGTGACTTGTATTAATAAGAGGTGGTGGTCTCGTATTCCTTTTGTGCTCTCCAAGACCTCACTAATTCTGACCTCTCAGTCAGATTTCATTATAAATTGAAGTGTGGGCTGGGCTGGCTACATTATTAGCACAATGAAGAATGGGTTTGCTTTAAAATTTTACTAGTTTAAATAAGACTTCTAGAGGGAACTTTAAAAACCAGTATTTATTTACCAATAAACAAATATGCTAATTGCAGGGACCCTCATTACAGTGAACCTCTGCAATACCAGGGCAGGATTATTAAGCTCTACTTGAAGTGTATTGTTAACCACTGTTCTGAGAAGTTTATGGACTCAGCCAGAATTTTGTGACAAAGGAAAATCCCACTGGATGGATGGGCAGATCCAGCCATATTGCTTGTAGATTAATGGAACAAACCAGGGCAGGTGAATGGGCTGGATGCTGACCTGCAGTATTTTACAAAATGTTACCACACTGAGGTATACTTTTGCACACATAATTTGAAAATTATGAGGTGGAGAAAGCAAAAATTCTCACACTGATGAGGGCATTGTAACTTGATTCAGTTCTTGTGAAGGCTAATCTGTATCAAGAGCCATACAAATGTTCACCTATTTTGACCTAGTAATCTTACCCTATGGAAAGAACTCAAGAGAAAATAAACCACTGACAATGTTTAAGCAGCAGTATTGTTTCATATTAAAAACAAAATTCAAATGCCCACCAATAATTATGAACATTTGGTATACATAAAGATTGTTACGTATCAGATTTAAAAGAGAACTACAGGCTCTGGTAGCCTAGAGAGCTGTGCAGCTAGCCAGAGTAGGTACCTCTTTGGTGGTTCAAATCCACTAATGGATCTATGAGATAAAGATGGGCAACTGCTTCCAGTGTAATAATTTACAGCCTCTGAAAACTCATTGGAGTCAGCTATGACTGTCAGCATCACAGCAATGAATTTGAGTTTGGGGTTTATTAGGTATAAACCCAGCCCAAATACGCTCCCATCAAATCAGTTCTACTTCACAATAACCCTACAGGACAGAGGAGAACTGCTCTCATAATAAGGAAATCTCCCATTATTTCACTGGCTGG